TTACTCTATTGTTAATGTGTTTATAGTTATTACTCTATTGTTAATGTGTTTATAGTTATTACTCTATTGTTGTTTATAGTTATTACTATATTGATAATGTGTTTATAGTTATTACTCTATTGTTAATGTTTTCATAGTTATTACTATATTGATAATGTGTTTATAGTTATTACTCTATTGTTAATGTGTTTATAGTTATTACTCTATTTTTAATGTGTTTATAGTTATTACTCTATTGATAATGTGTTTATAGTTATTACTCTATTGATAATGTGTTTAGAGTTATTACTATATTGATAATGTGTTTATAGTTATTACTCTATTGTTAATGTTTTCATAGTTATTACTATATCGATAATGTGTTCATAGTTATTACTCTATTGTTAGTGTTTGTAGTTATTACTCTATTGTTAATGTGTGTATAGTTATTACTCTATTGTTAATGTGTTTATAGTTATTACTCTATTGTTTATGTGTGTATAGTTATTACTCTATTGTTTATGTGTGTATAGTTATTACTCTATTGTTAATGTGTTTAGTTATTACTCTATTGTTGTGTTTATAGTTATTACTATATTGATAATGTGTTTATAGTTATTACTCTATTGTTAATGTTTTCATAGTTATTACTATATTGATAATGTGTTTATAGTTATTACTCTATTGATAATGTGTTTATAGTTATTACTCTATTGTTAATGTTTTCATAGTTATTACTCTATTGATAATGTGTTTAGTTATTACTCTATTGTTAGTGTTTATAGTTATTACTCTATTGATGTGTTTAGTTATTACTATATTGATAATGTGTTTATAGTTATTACTCTATTGTTAATGTGTGTATAGTTATTACTCTATTGTTAATGTGTTTATAGTTATTACTCTATTGTTAATGTGTTAATAGTTATTACTCTATTGTTAATGTGTGTAAAGTTATTACTCTATTGTTAATGTGTTTATAGTTATTACTCTATTGTTTTCATAGTTATTACTATATTGATAATGTGTTTATAGTTATTACTCT